CTCTTTGCCTGACAATTTGTTGAAGAACTACAACAAGGTAATAACAATTAATAAAAAAGCAATTACCACGCCTCTTTTTAGGGCAAACACGTGCGTTTTACAGGAAACCACACCTTCTTGGCAGAAATTGGTATTGAATAATATTAGTGGTAAAATAGAAACCATAGGAAAGAATAGAAAAGTGAAAGAATGCTTTGTCGGCACTTTGATATAATTGCTATTCAACACTTATTTATTTTTTTTTTTGCAAAAAGTTGACTATTTGTTGATGATATTGTAAAGGCAATGAAACTGATTGTAAGTAAATGCAGCAGCTAAAATTTATGTAGGTGCAAGCAGTTTAGGTACTTTGGAGCACTTTTAAGTGAATGGAATAGAACTTGCAGGTCTACTGAGAGCTCTTGAAAGGCACAAAGATACTCTATGAAAAACGATCAAAATGGCTGATTGGGCGTGGTCAAAAGGTGTGGCGTCGAATAATGGATGATTTCAATGACAACATAAATAATTCAAAAAGTTGTCTAAAGGATTAATCTTTGCAATTACTTGTGTAAGGAAAAGGGTTATAAGAGAAAATACACCTTAGCATCTTGCATAATCATGGATATAAATTCATGCATCTTTTTGCATGTTCTTACGTAGCATATTAAATAGATCTTATCATTCTTGCCAAAAAAACTGACAATCTTTAACGATCAAGCAGGATGATTAGTCCAAAGCCATGCAAGTTTATTGCAAGATCTTACATGTGGTAACATCTTAAAAGATCTTGCAGTAAATCTAACTAAAGATCTTTGATGATCATATTCAGTACCGTTGTTGTAAGGTCATGCAAAATGCCTAATCTTACATAATATCTTGAATAAGACCTTGCCAGATCTTTCAGGAAATGCAACTGAAGACCTTTAATGTTCATGCAGGATCCCTGTTCCAAAATCATGCAAGTTATATTGCACGATCTTACATAATACCTTGCCTGGACCTCGTCACATCTTGCAAAAAATCTAACTCAAGATCATTCATAATCATGCAGGATCTTTGTTCCAAAATCATGCAAGTTATATTGCGTGATCTTACCTAGCATCTTGGCTGGACCTAGTCAGATGTTGCAAGAAATCTAAATCAAGATCATTCATAATCATGCAAGATCCTTGTTCCAAACTCATGCAAGTTCTATTGCATGATCTTACGTAATATCTTGGCTGGACCTTTATAGTTTTTGCATTAAATCTCACTCAAGATCATTCATAATCATGCAGGAACCTTATCATGCACGAGTATGAATAATCTTGCCTAAGAACTTGCATGGAAATGCTACAGAAATCTTGCATGATCTTGTTAAGAATTTTTATGAGGGTGGGCTCTTTGCTGCACTAATGGCAGATAATTTTGCCCAGCTATTAGTGTCAAATCCAGCAATCCTGAAGGAGCTTCCTCCATCAGTCACTTTCCCGTGATAGTACTCCCTTACAGAGGTGCTCTTTTTCATGGGAGACAAGAACTCAATTGCAGCATGAAACTCAGCATTACAGCCCTCTGCTTTGATATCAGAGAGGCTTTCAAATGTTAGTCTTTTTCTTGACATCGCTTTATACTATAAAAAAGAATAAAAACTTAGACCTATTGTAAAAACTGAGCAATCTATCCCTTTTTATACCAAGTTTTGCATTGAGTATCAATATAGTGATAATTGATGTCATCATTACATCGTGAGTTGCTTCAAGTCTGCAGAACCTAAAAATGCCATTGTAATTGTTGAGTGGATTTAGAGCTTGCAGAACCTCTTCATGATGATGTAATACAATTCAGCAATGTTATGTATACACTTGGCATCTCACCTTGCCACTCAATCTGAAGTTAGTAACAGTTACATCACAATTATGTCATTGATCAAAACAACAAAAGCATTATAAAGAAAAAAGTGGGCATCACTGCAAAGGAACAAGATCAGAAAGACTGAAGGTAGAGAAGTATTAGGTATGGCTACACCAGAAGACACCTCAGACAAAATATTTGAAGAAGAGAACATATTGATAGCTGAAGACACTTGGACAGTAATTTTTATTTTTGTGATACAAGATATATCTTCACATTTTTAGTGTCAATATTATAATGGTACAATAAAGCCAACAAAACAAGCATCAAGACACAAAGTTCAATTATGCTGGTACTATGTTGCTGCATTACATTTGAGTTATTTTGCTTACAATAGTAATAATAAATTTTGTAGAAAAAAAGACATAAAGCTAATTCTTGTAAAGGGGAAAAATGTGAAGAAAGAAGAACACATCTGCCATGTACATGCAAGAATGCTGAAAATAAGTGATTCAACCTAAAGAAAAGAAAAAAAAGAAAACAAGGTAAACATATACTAAAAAGTAAAAATAATCTTTAACCATTTCTTTAGATATTGATAGTCACTATAAAAAATGTAAAGACAGTTGTTAACAAGTCATAAGTCAACGAAAATGTTTTTTCTTATTATCATTTGTTATGTGATAAATACTACTTGAAAATCACAATGTATCATAATATGACTTTGTATCTAAATTTATAACAAAATTGAATCCTACAGATAAAACATAAGAAATAAGGTGTACCGTATTTAACTGTTGCATTCGCAGCAGATTTTTCTCATTTTTGATGTCTTTCAATTAAAATTATGTAACTATTTTGTACTTACTTATTTAGTCTTCATTTTTTTTATCCATGTTGCTTCTTGCGATGTCATCAAAGGGTTAAAATTACACATGTAAATTATTCATTAATGAGAAATATTTTCTAAAATCACAATTAACTCTTATTAGTTTCTTCATGTATACAACTATATTTTATGTGAACTTTAATTTATCATAGACATTTAAAAAAAGGTAATAAACAGTTGGAAATATACTAGCTAGTTTACAAAGTACATAATTACCAGTTTTTGTGCTTTCTTTTACCACGGCCTCTTGTCTTCCAATGGGTGTACTGGAACTTGGACTGGATCTAGTAGTTAACCATTTTTCCCTTTGTGCTTCGAATTTTGGCTGATGAAAGTGATGGAAACAATTACGAGCGAGCAAACATAAAGGAGCATCACATTTGCTACATTTTCCAGTAGTTTGCCTCCTCACTCCATGCACAAGCTTACAGTAGACACAATCCTTACATTTAGGCATTCTAACAGAGCTATGTTCTACAGTAGGTGACCTATGACTTGTCAAAAGTGACTGTTTACCACTAACGGTTTGCTGATGCGTAACTTCAATACGACATAGCTGTCTCACAAACATATCTTTGAAGTTAAAATGGCTTAGTTTTCCTCTAGGATGAACTTCTTTATAAATGATGTATGAGTTGACAATTGCTTTATCAATAAAATGAAAAAAAGTGTCTTCCAGTATTTTCGTGACTGTCGAAGGACATTGTAATATTTGAACAGTTGGTCAGAGCGATCAACACCATTCATGAAGCTATTGTAATTGTAGATTATCGCAGGAACTGGTATTTCTTTCTTCTCTGTCACGCCACCTCTTTTATCATTTCTCGTGGCAGTCTCTTCTGAATTACGAGGATGCTCATTAGACATTACTGCAACACAATTAGTGTCTCTCCACACAGCATACACACAAGTACCATCCCTTACATAAGCACCACTACCTCTACTGAAAGATTTATGTGAAAATTTCTTCTTCAGGTGAGACACAACAGCAGGAACTCCCTTACGAGAAACATTAAGTGTTCCAGTAGTATGAACACCATTGCTGAATAGATCAGACAATAGTTGGGGACTAGTGTAGAAGTTGTCAATGTATAGAGAATAGCCTTGTGAAAGCGAATTCTTTGACAGACTCATTACAACGTCATATCCAAGACCGTTTGAACTTCTCACTTCTCCAATCTGTCCTCGGTATATTGAAAAAGCTGAAGTGTACCCATTGTGTGAGTCACATAATACCTAGAGCTTGAAACCCCACTATACAGGTTTGTTACGGATACATTGACAAAATGAAAAATGGGCTTTCGAACGAACTATACGTTCATCAATACTTATCTCGTGATGCGGCTGGTATAGTTCTTTATATCATTTTTGAATATGGTCATTCAGTGGCCTAACCTTACAAAGCTTGTGTCCATCTTGTTTGAGCTTCTTCTCAGTATCTTCATTGACAATGTGCAGGAAACAAAGATAGCTTTCAAATCTATTCGTACTAAAAACTTTAGAAATCAAGTGATCATAACACAAACTGTTTGCCATCCACATCAGTCTATATCGAGGAAATTTATGATATCCAAGATGTATGAAAATACTGACAAGAGCATAAAAGTCTTCTATTTGTCATCTGCTTATAGTAACGATACATGGTAGGATGACTGGTTTTGTTACGTTCAGCGTATTAATTACTTGAATCACAAATACTCTGTACAAGTTCTTCATCAAAGAAAAGCATGAATAGGCCTGCTGGAGATGGTTCACAAATACTCGATGGTAAGTGAGCACCGACAGATCTCAAAGGCATAAAATCTGTGTTTTTAGAGTGCTCGAGTTAACTTCAGAAAGATCGTGAACACTTAGTTGAATTGCTGATGCTCCTGTAGGTTGGCGACGACTACAACTACGTCCCTTGACTTGACCACTACCATGTCCCTTGACTTGACCCCGTCCACATCCCTTGGTTTGACTACCCCTAGCTCAACCTCGTGTAGCTGTGCATGCTCAGATCTCAGAACTGGAAATTTTTTAATGTAGGAGCAACTGCAATGCTTAATGGAGGCTCCAGGCTTCCAGTTCCAGCTAAAATAAGGTAATTAGTCTTAGATATCATTGTTTTGTTATGTGTGGACAATAAAATTGTAACTAAATATTTACTTCTGATACTTCATGTTATACAACACAAATATACAAATGTTATTAATTATTCATGCTTCTTGAACAAGGTTTTGTGTTATGATTAATATCATACTTCACTAAACACTGATTAGTATAGAATACCTTTAGCATAACTACTCACCTCAATATCAATCGACACCATCTGAAAAATGTTACAAATATTATCAGAATATCAACAAAAACAAGAAAATTAAAGAAACCAAAGGAACAAGATGGAGTAGGGTTCTAGAGCAAATTCATAGACAATTAAAACAAACATGTGCAAGTAGGATTTCGAATGGTCAACAAAAATTTGAAATAAAAGTCCTACTCTCATGACACAAATTTTACTCTACATTGCAAGGTGATCTGTATTCATTCTTAAATATGACACTAAAAGTACGAGTGTTGTTGTAGTTCATGATTTACATTTTAGTTTTAGTTATTTTAGTTATGATTATGTAAAACCATTTTTATTTAGTTAGAGTTATAGTCTTAGTTGTTACAAACCAAGCAATTCCAGGCAGAAAAGTTGTGGATTCATAGCAATTTCAAATATTACCATCAAGAAGCATGCCCCAATAAAAAAAGTACCCTCTCACAATGGTCAATTTTGGTCAAATTAAAGTAGATTTCATTAACAAGTAGGTGTAAGTAGTACTAGTTAATTCTGTTTTAGTTATAGTTTTAACAAATTACTTTAGTTATGATTCTAGTTATTTTGACATCAAATGGAAGAATTATAGTTTTAGTTAATGAAAGTACAATTTTGCTGTACTAAAATAGATTGAGTTATAGTTAACTAGTACAACACAGAAAAATACAATGTTGTGTAGAATTTGTCTCGACAGTAGGATTTTCATTTTGTATTTCGTTAGTCATTTGAAATCCTACTTGTTTTTGTTTGTGTTACTTGTTTACAAATTACTCTAGAATCCTACTCCATCATGATACTTTCAATTTTTTGTTTGAGTTCTCTAGGAGTTATTCAAGAATAAAGCAAGAATTTTTGTCTTTTGATCCAAAATCTGTCAAAAAATCCAAAGTCTCTTATGTTTACTAAGCAGCAACACAAATGAATGGATGTTTGTGCACACCCACACTTCCATTTCCAATGCCATTGGTATACTGTATTATTTATGGTACAACAGTTTTCAACCATGCGAATTTGTTACAACTAGTTAATGTCATATATTAGGAACCAATGCATCTCTAAACGTTGCTAGACTCCAGACAAAGTGTGAATGTAAGTGCAAAGGACATCATTTCAGCTGCAATTTTGTCTTCTTTCATGAAAGTAGATGATCTCTCATTCTTGTGTATTAAATGTAAGCTCTGAAGGATTTACACCTTTCAGTAATGCTGTCAATACTCCTATAGCAAATAGTACAGTCTTTTGACCCTGTTTGTTTTCAATATTTGCAATTTTTATCTCAGTCTCAAAAATATTATTAATCACATAACTAGTGGCCTTATTTACAGTAGAGTAGACTGAATCATATACAGTCACAATCTTGTCAATGGTTCTGCTACGATCCAGTGGTTACCTTGATCATGTATTGCCTAAATTCCTGAAGTAAGTTTA